GGGGCTGGCTGGGTAGGTGGGTGGTGGGTCCCCGGCCCCACGGGCCAGGGCTGCCTCAGGCCCCAGGACCAGCCGTGGCACTGTGGCCAGGCGACACCAGGCCACCACGGCGCCACAGGCATGGATGAGCAGCGTGAGGAGCAGGCACTTCCAGTGCGACTCTCGGCACAGGGAGCTTCCCAGGGATTGTTTCAAGGGCCGCTGCTGCAGGGTGGGCAGAGAGGGGGAGAGGCGGGGGTCAGGATAGGCCACCGGTTGGACCTGCCCCTCTGCCTAAGCCCTTGGGAGGAGCTGGGGCTCTGCCCCCCACTCCACAGAGGAAGAAACTGAGGCTCTGAGGGATTGAGCATCTTGCTCCAGACCTCACCCTTCTGGCTCTCACAGTAGAGCCGCAGGATTCAAACTGGGGCCTCTCTGAGCCCCCCAGCCTGTCTTAGTAGAGGTGCCCCATCATCTCTCAGTCGAGGGCACCTAGGACAAAACAGACCCATCTCTGCCAAGAGAGGGAAGGGCCCCCTGACTGGCCATTTAGAAGACCGATCTCTGGTCCCAGCTCTGCCGCTAATTTGCTGTGTGGTCTTGGCCATATTCCTGCCCTCTCTGGGCCTTGCTTCCTGGACCTGCTGGACCTTTTGGCATGGGGTCCTAAGGGTGAAGAGCATGGGCTCCATGGCCCAGGATTCAGTGTTGGCTCCATGACTTACTGGTTGACTTGGACAGGTCCCTCATTCTCTCTGGACCTCAGTCTCCTCATCTGTAAACTGGGGCTTTTGTGAGGTTTCAACAAGATCTTATGTGTGGCCTTCTCAGCATGGGGTCTGGCCATGGCAATAAATATTATTACTGTTACTCTGAGACTCCGTCGGGTCTCTTGGTTCCACTTAGAGACTTGGGAGAAGCTTTTAAGTAAGAGAAGAGGAAGAGCTGGGAACGGAGGAGGTGTGAGTCGGGGGGGGGGGCAGATGGAGCGTTGTCCTCCACTCCCCATCTGTGCTGCGAGGGAGGGGGTGGGACACAGCTGCCGGGCAGGAGGGCCACTCCTTGGCCCTGGAGGGTTTGGCCTATCCTCCCCGGCAGGGCTCCCAGCCTGGTCCCCACCTCACCTCTAAGGTGCCTATGGAGAGAGAAGTGGGGGAGGGGGGAGGGAGTGGGGAAAAGAAGGAGAAGGAAGAAAGAGGTGGCCTGGTGAAACAGCAGAGGTGGAGGTAAGGGGCCACCTCTCCAACCCTGGCAACACCAGGTCTTGAGAGACCCAAGAGGAGAGGAAATGCCCCCAGCCCAGCCCAGGACAGCCTGCCCTCCCCTGTAGTCACCCACCACACGTAGACATCACCATGACCTGCAGGGCCAGTCAGATGCACACACCCACACATCCACCCCACACCCCATGTTTATCACAGACCCACCAACCACAGATGTGCACACGGCCTGCTCATCCCAGACCCCGGACCCTCATCACTGCCCACGGCACAACCGCTCACAACCATCACAGGGTGCACAGGTGCATGCACTCACCCACACGCACACACCTCACACAGACCCACCCAGCACAGGACACACACATGCATATACCGGTTACACATTCACTGAAGCCCAGGTCCACACCAGACCCTCACCTGACCACAGTGCACATCCCCCAACCCCACCCCTACTGCAACCTGAAATCACACCCTAGACTCTACAGGAGAGACCCACCCACGACAGAACACGTTCACACATCACCACACCAGCCAAGCCAAGCACCCACCAGACCATCACCTGACTCTAGCTCACCCGAGATGTGGGGAGCACGCACTAGCATTCACACACCCACAAGCACACTACATCCATCCAAACACATACACAGACCCACTCACCACCTACTCCCCCAACACCCCACACAGGGCCCCACACCTCTGCAGATCCTTTTCTTGGCTAGGGTTGAGGAGAGGCCAGTCTGGGGGTCCCAGCCAGCAGGGTGAGCCCTCGGGCCCACCGCGGGGAGGGGGAGAGGGAGAAGGGGTACCAGACGCCGCCTCCTCTCCTCTTTCCCCTCCTCCCTGCGCTCCCTCCCCCAAGTCCCGACTACTGCTGCTGCATTGCAGGCGCCGCCCGGGCACCTCGTGAGCCGCTGGGCTGGGCTGGGCGGGGGGCCTGACCCCCGGGGCCTCGGGGGTGAGGGGCAGCTCTGCAGAATGAGGGCGCGCAGGGGCCAGGCGCTGACGTCACAGGAGGGCGAGGAGGGATGAAGGGGCTCCCGGGGCGGGAGTCGCCCCCTCCTCCCTTCCCAGCCCCCCCCCACCTCGACCCCCACGCGAGCCCCTCGGCTCGCCAGACGCCGGCCACCCTAATGACGTCATTGGCAACTGGGGTTTTGAGACTTCCCCCCTCAGCCCCTGTCCCGGGGTTTGCCCCTTCCGTCGTCCCCCGCATCCCCGCTCCATCCCTGGCTCCGGCCCCCCGACACACAGCGCCGGTACCTCCTCCCGCAGCGGCTCGCCGTCCGGGATGAACGCGGGCACCTCCCCGCTGTCGCCTCCGCCGCCCTCGGGCATGGTGTCCTGGCTGCTGGGGCGGCCCGAGCCCGGGCCCGGGGCATGATAGGGGGGAGCGCAGAGGGCTGCGGCGCGGCCCCGAGGGCGTCCGCTCGGCTCGGCGGCCGCGCAGGGAGTGCGCCGAGCTCGAGCCCGAGCGCGGCGGAGGCGGCGGCGGCGGCGGCAGCGGCGGCGGCGTTGGCGGCCACGGTGCCCGGCGCCCCGCCCTCCGCTGACCCCGCCCCCGCGGCACCCGCGGCGCCGCCGGCAGCGCCTGGTACCGCGGGCGCTGCCCCCGCCCCCGAGAACCCCAGGCTGGCCGACCTAAGCTTGGGTTCCCCTCCCGCCGCGCTTGCGCTTGCGACCTTGGCCGAGTCCTTGCTCTTGGGGCCTGTTTCTTCTGCTGTAAAATGAGGGGGGATGGATCTCAAAGGTGGGTAATGCCCCCGGCGTCCTGTCTCTGAGGAGTAGGCCCAGGCCTAAGCCCACCCAGACCCCACCCTGGAAGCCTTGCTTGTAGGGAAAAAAGCAGTTACAACCCAGAAAGGTGTGATATGCCTCATTCGCTGGACAGAGGTGTTGGGCTTCACTTAAGAGGCCAGGCAGGTTGGGGGCCAGAACACCCAGGGTCCTAGGCTTCGTGACCTTGGGCCTACACTCTCCACCCCAACCTCAGTTTTCCCACCTGAGCAATGGGAATAGAAAGGTGCACAAGCGTTCATCATGAGGTACAGGGGAATGGGATCTGCCCTTCATGGGAGGATGCCCTCCCAAGGACTGGTGGCCACACTGCCGCTCCCTGGCTCTCAGGGGGCCTCAGACCTTCACACCTGCCCCTGGGTCTGGGCTAGCCCTCAAAGTAGACTATTAGTTGGTGGGACATAGGGAGCTGCAATGCTAGGTGAGTTTTGGGTTGCTTTGCCGTTTTTTTTTCCCCCAAAGAGAAACTCAAAAACCATTCAGTTCAATATCCCTACCCATTTAAAGATGAGGTGATTGAAGTGATAGAGTAAAGGAGTGACCCAGGGCTTCATCCGTTTATTTATTATTTATTTATTGGACACAGATGTTTATTAGGTATCTTCTATATCCAAGTATTGTGTTTGGCACTGTGAAGACAAGGGTAGGAGTGGAGAATGACACTGGCCCGGTCCTAATAGAATTTATAACCAGGGCAAACTGGTGTACCCAGAAGGAGCCTGGAACCCAGCTTCTGGCCTCAATCCCCAGCCAGGTCAGTCCTCTGTTCCCTTTGCCTGAGAGGCACAAGTTAAACTGATTCTTAAAGAATAACTAGGCTTTGGACAAATGGATATGAGGGGGAAGGGCATCCCAGGTGGAGGGGTTTCTGAGCAAAGGCACGATTAGATCACGTGCGCTGTGTTTAGAAAGTAGGAAAGTCACCTGGTGTAACTGGACACTGGGTAGCTAGAAGCGGGTTGCAGAGGACCTGATTTTGCTCTCTAGAAAGTGGTGACTAAAGGTGTGTGAGAGAGGAGGCCCCTTCTATCTCTGAAGAGGGTGAGAGTGGTCACAAACTGGGCAGAGAAAGGAACACACCGGGCCTCAGGAGTGAGGCTTGGGGGCGGGGGGGGGCATGTCTCACTTTAAGATGGATTGCAGGGCCAGCAATGACTCAGGAGTTTCAAATGCAACTTCAGGAGGTGGATCAGCACACCTCCACCCCCAAATCGGTTGGACCACGGGAGAGTTGACGGGCCAGTCCTGGTGCAGGATCCTGTCCCGACTATACCACCCACTCTCTGGGACTTCACATCTTCTGGAGTTTTCAATATGTGTAATGGGTATGTGTGTGTGTGTGTGTGTGTGTGTGTGTGTGTCTTTCGGTCTGTCGAGAGAGAGAGAGAGAGAGAGAGAGAGTGTGTGTCTTTCTGTCTGTCTCAAGAGGCCAAACCCTCCTCCCAGCAGCAGGCCCCCAGGTTCTGCAGGATAGCGGCAGTGGCTGTAGGGCATTTCAGCACCGCACAACGGACAGCACCCACGCCGGAAGGAAGGGTGGGAAGCGGGAGGAGGAGTCAGCTTCCGGGGCTCGCTGGGCCGCGCTGTCACTGCCCCGCCCGGCCTCCTCCTAACACCTAGGCGGCTGCCTGGGCTCCGTGCCAGAACTGGCGGAGTGGGTAGTATGGAGGACGGGAAAGGAAAGCTAGCATTGAGAGGGAGGAGCAGGAGACCCAAGGGGCGGGACTTGGTAGAGCCCCACGGACCCATTCCCTCCTGGGGTACGTCCCCCGATGAAACTCCGTTCCCGTACTCCCGCCTCCGCCAGGTCTTCACCTGGTGTAGTCGTGGCAGGACAAGCGTCAAGTGCTCCACTGCGCAGGCGCGGAAATAATTCTCAACCTCCTCCTACCTTAACCCGTCTATTGGCTGTTCTGGCCCCGAACTAACAAACCCAGCATCCAATCCGAGAGCGCCTCGGATTGCTCCGCCTATCCCCCCTCCCGGAAGTTAACTACTGCCGAATCCAATTCGGCGAGGCCGCGCCAGCAACCAATTGGGAGAGAGGAGGGGGTGAGCTAGCGCCGCCGACGAGCCAATGGCAGGCGACGGAGGATAACGCTGAGGACATGGCGGCCGTGGTCGAAGAGCTCGCGGACGTGTCGGGCCGCTCCATAACCCGGGTCGGTGCCCAAGAAGCGGAGCAGCTGCCTTATTAGTATTCGTACCCACGAGGCGGCGCAGCGGGCCCTTGGGGAGCGCCAGCATCGCGGCCATGGCTTATCACTCAGGCTACGGAGCCCACGGTGCGTGGGGCGAGGGGCGGGCGGGACGCGCGGCCCGACCGGCCGGATTGAGGGTCGGCGGCGCTGCCCGCTCACCCTGAGGGAGAGGGGCAGCCGTGACCGCTCCCCAGGGCGGCGGGTGTCTTTCGGGTTTCCGCCCTGCGTGACTCCACAACAGGTCCCGGACTTCGTCCTCTCGGCCCAACCCTGAGATCGGGCGGTGACAGCATAGCTGGGATTCCCATGTCAGACCCGGGCACGAACGGGGTCTGCCTTCAGAACTTCCTTTACTTGTCATAACCCTGGTAGGGGCCCTCACCACAGACCAGGGCCTTTGGGTACCCAGCTGTCGCCTTTCCCACCCTTGTTCATGCGGGATGCCCTCCCAGTTAGTTATCTTCACCTAGGAAACTTCTCACTCTTCCAAGGCTCAGTTCAGAGATCACTTCCCTCGACAAGGCCCCCAGAAACCCCCAGGTGGGCAACCACTTCCAGGCGCTGCCTCAGCTCTTTCTTTGCCTACATTTAGCACCTCTGGAAAAGGATCCCTCATCAAAGTTCTTTCTGGGTTACCTACCCCTATCCAGCCCGGGTTTCACTGATTGGTGGCCCCAGCACCCATACAGAGCTGTCCAACCTGGGGAAAGGGGTGGTGGTTTGGGCTCACGTTTGATATTCCTGTCACCTACTCTAGTACCTACAAACCCACAGGCTCCAAGCACAGGGCCCGGGCAGCTCCAGATCCCCCTCCCCTCTTCGATGACACAAGCGGTGCTTACTCCAGCCAGCCAGGGGGATACCCAGCCCCAGGAGCCGATGTGGCCTTCAGTGTCAACCACTTGCTTGGGGACCCAGTGGCCAACGTGGCTATGGCCTATGGCAGCTCCATCGCATCCCACGGGAAGGACATGGTGCACAAGGAGGTGTGGCCCACCCCCAGGGCAAGGGTGGCAAGATTTCTGGCCAGGGATGGGGCATCACGGGATCCCGCCAAATTCTCACAGCAGCCCTCAGGGAAGGAGCACACAGAGGAGCGCCCTGAGGTTTGGTGTGCAGCTTGTCCACAGCCTCCTCTCTCCTCTCCTAGCTGCGCCGTTTTGTGTCTGTCAACAAACTCAAGTATTTTTTTGCTGTGGACACAGCCTATGTGGCCAAGAAGCTCGGTCTACTGGTCTTCCCCTACAGACACCAGGTGAGCTGGCGGGGCCCTGTGCCTCCCTCGTCCCGTCCCAGAGTTTGGCCCCCGGACCTCAACCCCCTTCTTTCTTTTCTTTGTATCTTTTTCTCCTGACCTGGCTGCTGCTACTACCGCCAGAACTGGGAGGTACAGTCCAGCCGCGATGTGCCTCTGCCGCCGCGGCAAGATCTCAACGCCCCTGACCTCTATATCCCCAGTGAGTCTTTCTTTGACCTGGGCTGGGGGACGTGGGGGGACTTGTGCCTGGAGGCACCAACGAGGAGAGAGAGGCTCGTGCATTGATTCAGCATCTGCTCTTGGTGCTTTTGTGTGTGGTGGTTGCTAGACACCCAGTAGACGGAGCAGGGGGACCAGTAAGGGGCTTCCTGGGTGTGCCCTCAGGGTACTCCCTTTTGAGATCTTCTTGCCTCTTAACTGGGACCATGTCCGTCCCCTGGAGCCCAGGGTTTAGACCTGGTCCTGCAACTTCCAGTAATGGGACCTCACGCTGGCTACTTTTACTCTTGCGTAAACCAGGAAAGACAACAGTCTCTACCATAAAGGATCGCTGTGGAGATTCAGTGAGGTGATGTGCGCTCAGCAGGAAGCACACTGTAAATAATAGTTACTGCCAGAGCGACTACTTGTCCCCCAAGTCCTGCGCCAACATTCCCTCCTCTGAGGAAGTGGGCGCTCCCCTCTGGGTTCCCGTAACTGCCCATCCACACGGCATGGGGTCAGGCTGCCCACCTTGGAGTGCATCTCACTCCTCTCTGTCCTGGGGCCTGCACAAGGTGAAGCCCGCGGTGGACACCCTGGAGGAGGGGTGAGTGTGCCCAGGCAGCCCTCAGACGGGTTGCCAGGGCAGCCAGTCAGGCCAGTTGCTCCGGGAGGGCCACCGGTTCTATCCTTCATTCCATTTTCTCTCAGAGCCACCTTGTAAAGCAGGAACTGCCATCCCCATTTTACGTGTCGAAGCCAAGGCTCAGAGAGATGACTGTCTTTGAAGCCACATAGCTTATATGTAGGTGGTAGAGCTGGTTTCCTGACCAGACCCCGTGCTCTCTGGTGGGCACATTAATTCTGGTCCTTCAAGGGGGGCAGAGAACAGGGCCGAGAAGTTACAGTTGGTGTGAAAGCCCAGCTCCCCCTGGCTCTGAGCTTTTGTGTAAACAGCAGAGGTAAACCAGGAGCCCTCTCCGTTGGTGGGATGGCCAGCGCCAAAGCCAGCGCCTGTGGCCAGACTGAAAATTACTGGCTGAGGTGACGTCATTCCCATGGGCCGGACTCTGGGGGGAGCCTGGGTTGTCTTCAAGCCTGTATTTTAGTCCTGTAGTGTTGTGGGAGATCAGTTTGGCCCCTGCCTGTTGGTCTAGGATTAGCAATAGCCTTGGCCCCTGATATGCTGTGAGCCACAGCAGGAAACTTTGGTGAGTGTCCTAGCACAGGGACAGGGAAGGAGGTGGCTTGGTGGTCCTGGGGGTCAGGTAGCATTTCATGGGGAGAGAGGGCTGAGCAGGGACAGGCATCCCAAGCAAGGTATTAGGAGCTGACTATGGAGGTTGGCATGTGGGGATATGCAGGGAAGGAAGTATGGGGAGAAGGTAGGGAGTGTAAATGGCCTCAAATACCAGGGAAGGAAGTATGGGGAGAAGGTAGGGAGTGTAAATGGCCTCAAATACCTAGCCAGGGGGCTCTGATTGAGGAAAGCAGGCTGATGGCATCTTTCTGGTTCTCGGCAGCAATGGCCTTCATTACCTACGTGCTGTTGGCTGGGATGGCACTGGGCATTCAGAAAAGGTTAGTATCAACGCCCTCCCCCATTCCCACCAGCTCTCCCTCCTGACTGCTCTCCTCACCTCCCTAGGGGATCTGTGGCAGGTCCCAAGCCCAGGCCATGCCCTCAGTTTCACACCTGCCACAGGATGGCTGGTTTCTGAATGCGCCCCCTCCCCCCCACGGCCATAGGTTCTCCCCAGAGGTGCTGGGCCTGTGTGCAAGCACGGCGCTGGCGTGGGTCGTGATGGAAGTGCTAGCCCTGCTCCTGGGCGTCTATCTGGCCACCGTGCGCAGTGACCTGAGCACCTTCCACCTGCTAGCCTACAGCGGCTACAAATATGTGGGGTGAGTACCTTTGGGCCAGGCCAGAGGCAGGCCTGGGAGAGGGGCCTGCCGCCCTGGGTTCCTAGCCGGTGTAGCTGTAGTCTTGAATTATGACCCTGGGCACCCCTCTGCCCCTCTCAGGGCCCTAGCTCTTCTCTGTTAGAGGAACCAGCTGTTCTTAGCATTCTCCTCAGGAACCGTGTACTATTGTTCAGGTCAGGAATGTGTGGAGAGTCATCCTGGGAACACAGGGGAGAAGGGCTTTGTGCTGAGTTAGTAAAGGGGGTCTCAGATCGACGTCCTAGGACTGAGTCCTAGGTCTTCCAGATTCATTTTGAGTCTAGGACCCTGTGGAGACAGATTGGACGTAAAGGGCCCCAGTGGTGGTGGGTGGGGCCAGTTTGAGGCCCGGACCCTTGGGAGATCGCCAGCCTTCTCTTTCTGCTCTCCCCCTCACCCCTACCCGCACCACACCCCCTGCAGGATGATCCTCAGCGTGCTCACAGGGCTGCTCTTTGGCAGTGATGGCTACTATGTGGCACTGGCCTGGACTTCGTCTTCACTCATGTACTTCATTGTGAGTCTGGGGCTGCCCCTCACGCCTCTCTCCCTGGGGTTGGAGCTGGGGACGAGCCTCTCCCTCCCGGCCCAGCGTCAGCTCTGTCCTTTCTTCCAGGTGCGCTCTTTGCGAACAGCAGCCCTGGCTCCTGACAACATGGGGGGCCCAGCTCCCCGGCAGCGTCTCCAGCTCTACCTGACCCTGGGAGCTGCAGCCTTCCAGCCCCTCATCATATATTGGCTGACCTTCCACCTGGTCCGGTGACCCCTGACCCCCACTGGCACTGATTTTGCCATACATTGAAGATTTGGGATTTCCTTGATTGTATTTGACCCTTGTTCCTGGGGCCTGGGGTGGGGGTCTCTCCATTGCCCAGGGTTTACCGGGCTCAGGGGACCCAGGGGAGGGCTTCCTGGAGTTGGTGGCCTTGATACTGCTTTGAAAGGCAGATGGAAGGGTTTCAGCAGGAATAAACAGCTGTTTCGTTGTGGCCAGGAAAGCAAGGATAGGGGAGCAGCTGTCACGGAGACCTCAGAGGCCTCTGGTCCATCTGAGGGGTTTCCCTAGAGGGTTCCATGGGCCAGTGGTTTGAGCCTAGCTGTACTGGGGATTTAGCTGAGGGCTGCCCCCTATACAGTCTCTTTGCCCCCATGTCCTCTTCAAGCCTTTCAGGAGCAGAACTGGGGCCCACGTATTTGCAGTAGTTTATTCATATTTTGTCACAAATGGCCGGGGAGGGGGTGCCGGACTCCTCCAGGCAACATAGAAAATAGGTCCAAGAGACAGGACAGTCTGGGATTGGGGCAAGGGGGGATGGGGGAGAGGGGGAGGTCTAGAGAGAGAGCCTGGGGGAGGGGAGAGGGCAGACTAGGGGTGGGGCTGCCCCCCTGCTGAGCCTGCTCATTCCCGGTGCGGGTACCCCCCCACCTGCAGGGGGAGCCTCGGGGTGGGGGTGGAGGGGGGCGGCCCAGAACTTCCAGGGTCACGCCCTGCCCCTTGGCAGGGTCCACGGTCCCCCCCCTCCAAGTGGACAAGGCCGGAGGTTCCGCCCCTTCCAAGACTGACTGCCATGCCTACAGGCTGGCCGAGGAGCCCCTGCCCCTATTTAGAGCTCTGCCCAGCCCTGGTCCAAGGGGAGGGGGCTCTGAAGGCGGGAGGTCCCCGCAGCAGCAGTGTGGAGGGGTGGAGAGGAGGCTGGGGGCACCAGTGCCCCCTCCCTCCCCAGGGCTGAGGCCTCTGCGGCCGAGGGGCAGGGCTGGGGGTGCACAGGCGTCCGGTCCATTCTGGGCTTGCTCCCTGGCCGGCTTCCCCCTTAGAAACTCACCAACGTATAAACCATACTGTGGGAAGATGAGGCAGTGAGCCGAGTCCTGAGTAGGCCCAGCTACTGGTCACCCACCCTGTCATACCCTGGGTTGCCCTCAGTCCTTAGGGGGAAAAGGCAGGAACTTGGGGCCCAACCATTCCTGGAATTGGAGGCATGGTACCTGGAACATCCCTTCCCTGACTTCTGACTGCCATGGGTAGGGCCTCACCTGTACAGGTAATAGAAGAAGGAGAGCAGGTAGAAGGCGAGTTTGCACCAGGACTCCTTCTGGCAGTAGTTGAGGATGTCAGCATTCATGATGGAGACCGCATCATACATGACCTCAGAGCCATCCGCCGGGCGATGGAAGTACCTGGGGTGAGGGAGGGGCCTGAGTGCCCACGTCAAGGCTCCCACCCCCATCTCGCCCCTGCTCTTCCATCTCCCTCCCCCCAAGGCAGCTTCCAGAGGTGGTAGAAGAGGGGGATGCTGAGGCCCTCACCTCCAGAGGTGGTAGAAGAGGAGGGGGATGTTGAGGCCCAGGGTCACCCACTCTGCTGCACACAGAAACATCAGACAGAAGAGGCCGTGGATGGAGTATTCTGGGACCACCAGCTGGGGAAGGGAGGGTTAGAGGTCAGCTGCTTGGTGCCAGGACAGACCCCACCCAGCTTCAAGGGCACAGAGGGGAGCTGCGATTTGGGAGGTGCCCCCCACCGTGACCTCTGAGGACTAAAGGGGCCTCTAGCCTCCCACTCCCTCCCCCGGTGGCAGACCAGATGAAGCAGGTCCCAGAGGGGCAAGGCCCCGCTCCGGGTCACACAGAGTAGGGCTGAGCTGGGCTGGGAGCCTCCTGCTACTAGCCCTGACACTGACCTTCCTCAGGAGGCAGCAGATGCGTTCGATGTTTTTTAAACGCTCGCGCTGTAGGGGGAGAAAAGGTCGCCATGGGGGAGGCGGAGGAGCCGGCATTGGTGGCGCCCCCGCCGCCCTCCCTACGTCCCCTGTCGACCTGCACGTGGCCGCCAGGGGGCGCCAGAGCAGACTCTGCGGTAGGGAAGCAGCCGCGCTGTCCCCATGGCAACCGTCACCATGGAAGGACCTTCACCCGCGTCTCCACGGCAACGGCCCAGAGCCTGGCAACGGCCGCCCCGCCAGGAGAAACCCGAGCCCTGAGCCCGCGCCAGGTGTTTGCTGGGGGCGGGGACAGACAGGAAGGGGCACCGTCGTCGGTCCCACCACATACCCCCCTTCTTCCCGTCCCCCACCCCCCTTCGCCTGCGACAGACGGAAAGCCAGACGGACTGACACACCTCGGCACAGCACATGTATCACTTACTGCCCGCGCTGGGTTCCCCTGGTCGATGGGGTTCTTGAAGTCGGTCCGCAGCTCGTCAAAGGCTATGATCTGGGGGAGGGGCGTATGCCCGTCAGGGTTGGGGCAGCAGCTAATGGCCCCCCCCCCCCCCCCCATCCTTCTGTGGGATAGGAATTCATACATGGGTACTGGGCCAGATGGAGCTTGCTGCAAAGGTGGAGAAGCTGAGGTTGAGGGAGGGGCGGGGCCTGGCCCAAGGTCACACAATAGTGTGGAATGGAATCCTAGTGTGCCAATGCCCAAGTCAAGCCATGTTCACAACGCTTCCATCCAAAACATCCCAAGAGATGGTGTCTTTTTTCTGCCCTTTGCTGACCACTGGGGTCTTGCCTGGGTGGGCTCCCTTGCTTGGGAGAGCTGTGAAGTATATTCCAGGGTGATCAAGGCTATTGGGGTGCCTGGTCCAGCGTTGGAGGTGTGGGGGGGCAGAGTTCAGGCTGGACTCTGAGTGGGTGTTCGGTGAACAAATGGGGGAAGGGCAGTCCAAGCAGCAGGAACAGCAGGCACAAAGGCAGCAGGTTGAAAGAACAGGAACATTCAGGAAGCTGAGGGTTCCATGGGGTCATAGTGAAAGTGTAAGGTGAGTGGGAAGGAAGAAGGGAATGTGAAAGATGGACTGGAGATGCTGTGAACCCGGACCAGAAGTTTGGACTTTAACCCAAAAGTAATGGGGAGCCACTGAGGGGTATAAAGCAGCAGAGTGGGACAGTCAGGCTAATGCTTTAGGATGGATGGAGAAGAAAGTACACATTGGCTAACAGTCCCAGCCAAGACATGTATGATGTTTACTCTATGCCAGCAGGCTTTATGTTTACTAAATCATTTAATGCTTGCAACAACCTGATGACGTAGGGACTGGTATTATCATATCCGTCTTGCAGGTAAGGAAACTGAGATGGACAGTCTAAGTCACTTGTCCAAGGCCACACAGCTAGTCAGTGGTAAGCCAGGATTCTAACCCAGTTAGACTCCAGTGTTAAAATTCTTAACCGCTTTATCATAGGCAGGACAGACCAGTGGAGAAATGGGGGAGTGGGGGTGCTCGTCGATCGGCGTGATCAGCGTGAGGACAGCAGCAGTGAGAATGGAGAGGTGTGGAGGGATTCCAGAGCTATTTAGAAGCCAGACTCCAGTGGGCTTGAAGAAGAGTGGAGGCACAGGGGCCCAAGCTGCCTTTGGGTGTTGGGGCGTCTGGTAGATGGCAGCGTCCTCATTGGGATGGGGAACCCTTGGGAGGTACAGGTGTCTGAAGGGATGATAAGACAGACCTGGGTGGGGGGCAGTGGGAGCTGGCATGATAGGAGGTCTGGAAGAAAAGCCTTCTGAGGTTCCCTCCCCTCAGCACCAGTCGGAGGACAAGGCACAGGGCCCACCACCCCCAAGCATCCCGGACCCCAGACGGCTTGGAGGGAGAGAACATGGTCTTCCTGGAGGGAGCCGGGGCCATCTGGAGCAGCACCCCCCCACCCCCATGGACTCTGGGCAGCCACCTGCCTGCCAGGCACAGCAACAGGGTCCAGCAGGGAGCGGAAGGGTGCCGTCTGTCTGCCCCAGAGCTGGCACCACCAGCAGGCAGCGGGTGTGGTGCCTCCCACCCCCCAGGCTGCCTGGCGCTGACTCAGCCCCCTGGAACAAACAATCCCCCACGATGACAGCTGACACGCGTCACTCACCACAAGGGTTGCCTGGCGACCAGTAGGGACTGGGCTCAGGGTCTGGGGTGGGATCTGGGGTCCTGCCCTGGAAGATTCTTGTTCTTACCAATTTGGATTGAGGACCACACCTCCTATGCCCATCCCACCCCCCCTTAGTAGGCAGTGCTCTGGGCACTCTGATGGATATACAACAAACCCACTTTATCCACAAGGAAACAGACTCAGCAAGAGTGACTTGCTAAGATCACCGAACTAAATAGCTGAGTGAACACCATGCTTGACACATAATAGGTGCTCAATAAATATTTTGTTGGGCCCTTGCCCCCAACCTAGGAGCCTCACAAGGGCAAAGCCTGAGTCTTATTCATCCTTGACTCTCCCACAGCTGCCCAGAGCCCGGTTCTCAGGAAGCATCGGCATTGGTATGTTGGATTGAGGACTGCTCTGAGTAGCCCCTAAGGACAGGGGACCCCCAGAGGGGCTGTGGGAGGTCTCTGGGTGGGGAGAGGCCTGGAAAGGGGCTTCTTGATTTCCAGGAAACTTTCTCCCAGGAACTGGTTAGGTCTGTGTTCCCAGCCTGTGACCCTCAATTTCTTCCGATCTTTAGGACCCCAGCTCTCTTGCCCCCAGCCCACAGGATTGTCCACTACCCTGGGATGAGATAGGAGGCTCAGAGAGATCAAGACGGATTGGGGGGGGGGCGGTTATGGAGGCAAAGAAAGAGAAAAAGACCAAGGGTGAGAAAAGAAAAAGCAATTAAGAGACCCACAGAGAGAGAGAGAGGGAGAGGCAAAACCAGGGAGAGCACTGGAGATGGGAGGGGGGGAATGTGTTGGAAGGTGCCTGTAGGGGCTCACTCCTTACACAGGAGGGGTGCAGTCAGAGTCCATGGAACCCTGATGTCGAGGAGACAGGCAGCAGTGGGGCTAGGGGGATGGTGAAGGGAGAGATGGGTCAAGAGCCAGGGAGGATCATGGGGCAGGCAGCAGGTCCCAGGAAGAGAGCAAGTGGGGAGACCAGGAAATAAGCAGGTGAGATAATGAGGAAGCGAGAGGAAGGAAAGAACGGGTTACAGGGGGAGAGACTGGAGAGAGGTACGGGAACCCCCCTAGAGGGGATGAAGATCAGGAAGGCGTGTCCTGGTGCAGAGGATGCCGAAATGGACAGACCAGGGCCGACCAAGATGGGCAGTCTTCATTGAGGGGATCAGGATGGGGGCCAAAACCTCAGGGGACAGAGGTGGAGGGAGGGCAGTCAAGGGGGGGGCAAGGGCCCCAAACAATGAGCTGGAGGCGGAGTGATAATAATTCTTGGTGAAAGGAAGGGAGCCAGGCAGAGGGGGGCACTGAGGAGAGGCCCCCAGAGAGAATGAGGGAGAGGGACTCTCAGGGGAGGCGACTGGGATAAAGGATGAGGAATGGATACTCTGAGAGCAGGTGTGAAGCCAGGCCAGACGGAGAAACAGACCAAAGGGGACACAGGACAAAGGGGAAAGTGGGAAGGAAGAGGAGGGAAAATGGGAAGTGGGAAGGAAACCTGATGAGGGGAAGCCCAGAAAGGAGGGGGCAGGGAAGCCCAAGGTGAGCTGGTGGTGGGGACTAGGTCTCTGGTCGGCTTGGAGCCAATCACTGCTGGGTCAGGGAGGTGAGTGAGAGGGAAAGGGTTAATGGGTTCTGCGATCCGTGGGTCCTGTAAACAGATGCAGTTGCCATGGCAACCGGCTCCATCACTCCGGCTGGAAAAACCCACAAAGGGGGGGCAAGCAGACAGACAAACTGCCCGACAGACAAACGGGGGCGACTGGCTTGGGGGGGGTGGTAGGAGAAGAAAAAGGAGCAAGAATCCCAGAATTCTGCCCCACACCCCAAGGCAGCATGGGGCAGGGGCAGGGGGTCAGAGACCAACTGACATACCCACAGACAGGCGGGGGCGGCGGAGGGAGGGGGCCCCAGGAAGGAAGCCGACGACGGGAGGGGGTGTTCATGGGGGCGAACAGAAGCTGACCGAAGGGGGATAGCGGAGAGGAGGCTCCAAGTTTCCTCGGGCCCCGAGCCCATCTGCTCGGCCCCCTCCCGCTCTGTGTGCCCCCGGCCCCGCACCCCCCACCCCGCCCCCAGCCCCAGCCCGGCCTTACGTGCCAGATGACAAAGAAGATGAGGGAGGCGCACAGCACCAGGGTGAGCATGTAGCAGAACGCGGCGAAGGTGAACGCCATGGCCCCCGCGCCGGGCGGCGGCCCGGGGGGCGCCAGCGCGGGGCCCGGGCGCAAGGGGACGCCCCCCGGTCCGCGTTTAGGGCCGGCCGGGCATGGCCCGCAGGCCTCCGGGGACGCGGGCGGCGCGGCCGGGACCGGGGCCGCGGGCCGGTGGGCTCGGGGGGCGCGTCCGCTGCCGGCTGCCCGGGCCGCGATCGCTCATCCTGCGATCCCTCGCCCGCGGCTCCCTCGCTCTCCAGCCCGCGAAGCCGGCGGGGCGGAGCCGGGGGCGGGGCCGCGGTGCGAACGGCCTCGGGCGGGGCCGGGTCTCTGTGCGCCCCTCCGCATGCACCGCCCGGCCCGGGCGCCACCCCCGCCCCAACCTCAGGGACACGTAGGCATGGACGCACATCCCTGGCATGCGCCCGCCTCCACCCCCCGCGTCACACGAGTTCGGTCCACTCGGAGGAGCACACACACACCCCTACCCTCACATACTGTATTTTGCACACTGGCCTGGGAGGCCAGGCTGAGGTCCTAAGTGGGAGGAACTTGGCACCGTCCAAGGGGGGCAGGGACACCTGGCTTGAACCCAGAGCATAGGTGGGAGAGGGGGCAGAAGGGGATGCGGGCCAGGCATGATGTGGCACGTCTGCAGCCCAACCTCACAGGCCAAATGGCTGCGCGCCTGTGTGGGTGTTGGCGGCGGCTCACCAGGTACTCGCTGATGGCCGCCTGCTCCCCGCCTGCTGGAACCGTGCTGGGCCCGTGGGGACATCCCACAGAAGCAAAAGCAGGCAGCACTCCTGGCTTTAGGAAGTGGGTCAAGGGCTTTCAACAGCAGCCCTAGGACACACAGCCCAAGCCAGGACCCCTGTACAGCCAGCCAAGCCCAGGGCCCCGGCTCCATTTCCCCACCCCAAGACCGCTCCCACCACAGACCACACTCAACCACCACAGCTTCCTTGCAAAAACCCTCGGCTCACCCGAGGGCCAGTGGAAATTTATTTATTTTTTGTCCTTTCTGTCTTTCCCCAAGTGGCTTTTCCTTGCAAAATGCCTGACATGACACCCGAGGGGAACCTGGGAGTGGGGGCACCCCAGAGACTTAAATACAAGCTGGAGGGCAGGGCACAGGTGGGACAGGCGAGAGACAGCACAAGGTACATGGCTTTTCAGGTAGAGACCAAAGGTTTGTTTTTTCTGCAGGAAGAAGCTGTGCCAGAGGGCAGGGGGCTAGGATCCTGGGTGGGAGGGGGTGAGGGGAGAGGCCCTGGACCCTGGGTTTGCACCCACATTCCCCGGAGGAGTAGTGGTGACAGGGTATGAGGACCTGCCCTCGTAGGCTCCAAAGAACAGAAGGGGGAGAATAAGCCAGATGTGCTGCCTCGGGGAAAGGGAAGAGGTGCTGGCAGAGTGAGGGTTAAGGCTGGTGCCTGGCCTCCGGCACGGTGGGCCTTCCACCTCTGCCTGCCATGTGGACAAAGGGGCACAGTGGGCAGGCAGCACATGGGCCTGGCTCTGGCAGGGCAGGGGGTGGCAAGAGCAGGCTCCCTCTGGGCTCAAGACACAGGCCCAGCATGGCTGCCTGCCCACCTGCTCTACATGTGCTCAGACCCCACCACAGCTGGACGGCTGGAGCTGTGAGTATGGAAGGGGTGGGGAGGAGAGGCAGGGAGAGGCAAGGGTGGGCTGCTGGGCCCCTGTGGCCCCCATGCCCTTCCTGAGGTCCAGCCCAGGGCCCTGGATCCTGGGTCCTGGATCCCCTGGTCCCATTCCTGGCCCCCGGTGCTGACTGCAGCCAGGGACTGTAGAGGCCAGGGAGACTCCCAGCTCTTGGGGAAGGGGAGTGGGGGGAGAAGGTAAAGGGGTAAGGAAAGAAACCCACTGCAGCATACATGGGGGGCAAGGAAGGGAAACAGAGGAGCCCTCATCCCAAGGAAAGGTGTGTGGGAGGGTAGCTTTTAAAGTTACCTAGAGGCAGCAGCAGAGCAAGCCCACATCCCCACCCCAGCCAAAGGTCCTGGGTGTCCTCTCTTGGGGGCCGTGACAAAACCAGGGCTCAGGGCAGCAGGCAGATGGGCCAGAGGGAGATGGGGAGCCCAGGACACCCCAAAGCCACAGACTCAAATGCCCCAGGAGAGGGAGGCACCTCCTATCCCCTCCAGGGGCATCATCTGGAGAAGGTGCCCCCTCCTGTCCCACCCCACGTGCCCCTCCTAGCAACAGCCGCCACCAGCTGGCTTCACAGGGGTGCTGTCGATCTTGAGGTTGGGCCGCTCACCCCCTGAGGCTGCCCCAGGCCCCATCCGCTTTTTGATCTCAGCAGCCATGGTCATGAATGCCTGCTCAACATTGGTAGCGTTCTTGGCACTCGTCTCCAGGAAGGGGATGCCCAGAGAATCTGCAAACTCCTGACAAGTAGAGAAGAGAGAAGAGGAGGGGAAGGAGGGGTGAGGGGCAGCAGAGGCCAGCCCACCCTGGGTGGCCTGACCCAGGCCCCACCCACCTTGGCTGTGGTGTTATCCACCACTTTCTTGGTGGTGAGGTCGCTCTTGTTGCCCACCAGGAGCTTATTGACATTCTCACTGGCATAGCGGTCGATCTCCTGTAGCCACTGCTTCACGTTGGCATAGGATTCCTAGAGGAGCCAGAATCAAAAGTTATTTTGCTCCCAAACACCCACCCCTACTCAAGGCCAGGAGAACAGGGCCTTTTGAAGGGGATTTCCCTGGGCTCCTGAGAGAGACAGGAGCCCTGAGCTCAGGAACCCAGAGGAAGCTCTCTCTCCTCCAGGCTTAGATCTCCTCCCTGACCCACTCCATCTGAAACCCTTAAAGCCAAACCTAGCACAGCACCAGCTGTCTGCCAACAGCTCCAATACCTAAACAGCCTAGGCCTAAGGGCCAGCCAGCTCTGCCTCCTGCAGCTAGTTTCCCCAAGACACGGAAAAGGCCAAAAACATGTGGGGAGCAAATGACAACAGGAGAGAGACCAGAGAGGAGACAGAAATGGAGAGGAACAAGTTAGCAAGAATCACAAAGTTCCTACAGTGGCCTTAAGATCCCTGAAAGGTATGAAGTCTTTCAGCCCAATGGTAGGTGGAGGGTCCTCACAGAGGAGATTCTGGCCTATGAGGGAGACGTGTATCCTGGGAACAGAGCCAGACATTCGTCCTGCTTCTGGCACTATCAGCCTCCTTGCTCAGACCGGCTCTCCCAACAGCTGGTCACTCCCTACCCCCTACCCCTGGCTCGTAAACAAAGACAGAACTTTTAGGAACATGGCTGGGCTAGAGGCACGTTTTCCCTTCTGAGGAATCAGAGGTGTGTGGTGATATCCCACTGGGTTCAAACGTACACCTGCTGCCATGTCCCAGGCTGGACCCTGTGGACAAAGAAGGGACAAATACCTGGGTCCTGCCCTAAGGCACTCGGGACAGTGGAGGACTAAACCAGGACACACACACAATGGCAAAACAGGGTGATGAGTGCTGCTGGAGCTCCAGGACTACCTCTGCCCGCGGAGACTACGGCTGACCTATGTCTGAAGGGACGAACTGGCCTTGTGTGGAAGCAAGTGGAAGGATGGGAAAGGTGCAAGGCGAGGAGATGACCTACATCAGGTCAAGCTTCAGGATGCGGAGCAGGGAGAAGTGGAAGGCTGCTGCGACCCAGGCCCTGAGCACAGAAGGAAGGGGAAAGGAGGCAGGCCAGAGGATGGAAGGTCTTAGCCTGGCTAAACTGGACAACCAGGAGCCCATGAAAGGTTTTCTTAGGAAGGGAGCAGCAGAAGCACACCTGTGTTCTGGGAAGACAGTCTGGACAGGAGTGTAGAGGCCAGATCAGACTGGCAAGATGGCGACCAACTGGGAGGTGGCTGAAATAATCTAGGGAAGATGTGCCCTGAGTCAGGGAGTGAGGCAAGGAAGAGCACAGGATTTAGAGTCAGACCATTTTGGGTAAGCCCCAGCTCTGCCATTTACTGTGTGACCCTAGATTTGTCACATGACCTCTCTGAGCTTCAGCTTCCTCATTTTGATAAAACAGCAGCTCCCCGTTGGGTTGTTGTACGTAAGAGATAATGGAACACAGGCCTGTCTTATAACAAGCACTTAATTAGCAGGAGCTGCTGTCATCCTCATCACTGCTATTGTTACAAGGGAACGGACTTGAAAGAGAAGTTTGGGGGGGGGAACAGAGGGGAGAAAGGGGGGAGGGAAGAGTTTTCTGGACAGGCCAACAGGAACTCTGTTACAAAGATGGGGATGCAGGAGCCAGTTTAGGGAGAGAGGGTGAGGCCAGTACTGGACATGCTGAGTTCTGAAGATGATCTGGAGCTCAGCAGAGGTTGGCTAGGGGCAGGGAAGGGTAAGTTCAGAAGCCAACACTAGCCTTGCCCCTCCTAGCTATGAGACCATGGACAAGTTACCTAACACCTCCCCAAGCATATTTCATCTGGAAAACAGGGACCCCACACTTACTTCACTGGGTGATACCATGATGATTAGAATTACTACACAAAGTGCCAGCAGAATAGGGGCGCCTGGGTGGCTCAGTCATTAAGCGTCTGCCTTCAGCTCAGGTCATGATCCCAGGGTCCTGGGATCCCACATCGGGCTCCCTGCTCCGCGGGAAGCCTGCTTCTCCCTCTCCCACTCCCCCTGCTTGTGTTCCCTCTCTCGCTGTGTCTCTGTCAAATAAATAAATAAAACCTTAAAAAAAAAAAGTGCTAGCAAAGTAGAACACAGAGAATATCCACAGTGATAACTGTGTACACAGGAATCATAGAACATAAGACAAAAGCCAAACTACAAAGTGACCAGACCCATGCAGGGACAGTCAGGAAGCACAAGATTGGGGGCGGGGGGGGGGGCGGGGGGGAGGCAGGGAGTGTGGTGGTGGTACAGGGCAAACCAGTAAAAAGTCGCTGAAAAGAGAACCTAATGCAGCAAGAGGTAGGAAAGCTGGAGATAGTGAACCTTCCAAGGAGAGGGAGGAGAATGAAGGTAAAAGCCATGAGAGGTCAATCAGAGCAAGAACTGAAATGAGGTCATGGAACTTGGCAGCTAGAGGTCCCTGATGACCTCTGAGTAGAGCAGAGTCCACCCACAGCTTGTTGTCCAGAAGACATCATGAGCTCCTGGTGAGCCCAAGGGCCCAGCTGCCCCTCGGAGCAGGAGCTCCTCCAGGCCCAGGGCTGATGTAAGCATTTTCATGTCCCCAGGGCCTGGTCCCCACTAAGCAACAAGGTTTAGT